CGCCACTCCACAGGCAAAGAATTAAAGAACAGGGCAGCACGATTTGAAAAGGAATTGACACCGTCAGTCGTCCGGAATTTAGATATTGCAATAGCAGCATTAAAAGAGCTTCTTGTTGTCCTAGGGCCGGTTGAAACTTGAGGGAAAAGGTCCGTCAGATTTGGGAGAGGGAAAACGACATGATTAACATGGATAAATTTAGCAATGCTACGAATAAGGTAATGTTCAAACGGATCAATCGACAATCTAGCTAACAGCGGTATGACGTCCTCTTGTAGTTTCGAGCCACAAGCAGCGCGTACAGAACGACGATAAACGGACGAGAGTCGCTGTCGGTCCTTGGCGGATAGCTTCATTGCAAAGCAAGAGCAGCAGTATAATAAGTCAGGCAGGATAACCGAGAGGATGAACTGCCGTGTTGCCTTCAAACTTAGTTGCCGAAAACACCGTCGAAGAGCGCCAATTTTCGTGCAAGTCTTCCTAACGATAAAGTCTATGTGACCAGACCAAGAAACATCACTGTCTACAATGACTCCCAGGATTCTCGTGCTAGACACTTGAGTCAGAGGCTGTTGGTTAAAAACGATTGGAGTTGAGAGGGGTTGAGAAGACTTAGAAATCATCAAAGTTACAGTCTTTGTTGTATTAATGCGCAGCCCAAGCTCGTCTAGATCCACAGAAATTGCAGATAACGAATCAGTAACGGTAGCGACGGCCTCAGCTTGTGTACGTCTGCTGGCATACAACGTCATGTCGTCAGCGAACATCGGGAGCTTGCAAGAAAAGGCCTCTGCTGTCAATGGGAGCTTCCGTACATATATGTTAAATAGCACCGGACCCAGAATGGTGCCCTGTGGCACGCCACTAGTGATTGCCACCAACGGAGATGTTCCAGTGTGGGTAACCACCCGCTGTTGTCTGGCACAAAGGTATGATCGGAACCAGGCCAGGGCCACTCCCGAAATACCGACAGCTGCGAGAGCAAGAAGAAGCTGTTGATGCTTCACCATATCGAACGCTTTTTTCAAATCAATACAGACAACCGCCGTATGCAGTCCAGCGTCGCGCGAGACAAGCCAGTCGTTCGTAACCTTGGTGAGAAGCTGTCCGGTAGAACGGTGCTTCCGAAAGCCAAACTGGTCCACATGGAATGGGCAATGATCATTAAAAAAAAGATGTATACGAGAAAACACAAGCCCCTCCAGGAGCTTGGCTAGGATAGATGTTAAAGACACTGGGCGGTAGTTAGAAGGGCAGTCGCGGGGGCCTTGAGTTGACTTCAGAATTGGTGTAATGTTTGCAATTTTGAACAAGGATGGGAATTGACTAGACGAGAGGGAAGTGTTGAATAAGATAGCAAGTGATAGAGCAATTACGTCTTTTGATATTTTAAGTAGACACGGAAGAATGCCGTCCGGTCCAGGGGCTTTATTACTTTGGAGGTCACCGATCCGAAGCTTCACCTCTGCTACTGTAACGGCTGAAAACGTAGTAAGGTCGTCGGATTTAGCAGGTCCCATTGGGAGCTTGTAATTCGCTTCCTTATCTGTGACAATCGAGTGAAAATAGTCGTTCAATCGCTCAGGTGGGATGGTAACCGTTTGCTTCGGAGAGGAACGCTTTGTGATCATATTCAAGGCTTTCCAGAACTGCCGAGGCTCCCGTTCATACCGCTGGCACTGGTCTGAAAAGTAAAGATTCTGTAGGTGTCGATACAAGTTATTGCACTGGTTGCGCAGCCGCTTGAATTGTACAGATAGGCTCTCGTCTCGAAAGTTAGTAGCTTTTAGTTTCTTGAAGACCGATTTGCGCTTTCTAATCAAGGCAAGGAGGGGCGAGGTCATGAACGGGCAATTTTTCCGACGGGACTTCCTGTGTTTCCTGGTTACGTACGGTGCGATGATATCAAGCACAGCATTGACTTTCCCTGTCCACTCGTCCAACATCAGGTCTGGGGTACGGGATGTAAAGATATGAAGATCGGAGGACAGCAGCATATCGCAGAAACGCTGAGCGTTGAAGTTCCGGTAGTCTCTGCGTGTTTGATGGGTAGTAGTATTGCTCCGCGCATCCATGATGGGCACTGGGACGGAAGTAACGACGAGGCGATGGTCTGAAAACTCACAGTCCACGACAGAGGCTGACGGAACTCGATCAATGTTTGTGAGAATACAGTCAATGGATGTACGGGTGGAGCCTGTTATTCTTGTTGCTTCAGTTACTTTATTGGCCAGTCTGCACGGAAGTAGCAACGTGTCTTTGAGATGGTGGAACGCACTGGACGTCTGACGCAGAAAGTCCACATTTATGTCACCTAGCAACACAATATTCTCGCCGTCCAGCTGCTCCGTGGATGTAGCGAGCCGATTCCAAAACTCTACCGGCTCGGATGGGGGACGGTATATGCAACCAAACAAGGTACTATCTTTGCCTGTGCCAGCTCTAAGCCACATCAACTCTAGACTGGAGTGTGAGTGGTCCAATATGTGCTTAGCCTTAACATGTTCCTTTACGAAGATGCAGATCCCGCCTCCTTTACGACATGGAGTGCAGGAGGATAGGCAAGTGCATCCATCAGCGCACGGCCTGTCTCGACGTAAGAGAATTGTGCCTGGTACAGAAACCTCAGTGTCCGAGATGCTTGAGTCGAGCCACGTTTCCGTAACCGCTAGCAGATCTAGGCAGTGCTCATCTATTAGCTTAGTTATAACATGGGTTTTATGTCGTAGGCTGCAAATGTTTATGTGGCCAACATTTAGTCGGTTGGATGGATGAATTGTAGAGTAGAATGCTGGGGTTGAGGGATTTGGAGACGAAGGGGTGAACACAGGAGCATGCGGGTTCAGGGGCTGTGAATACCGGTAGGTGGTGTGTGGCATTATGTGAGTGCTGGAGCTGTGCCGTCAGCACCAAAGCGCCATTCACGAACTGCAAAACCGAGCGAGTCCGGCCAAAATGCTTTGTCCTGTACGGTGGTGGCGTCCGACGCCAGCACTGTGACCCTGGCAAACCCTGTTCGGAAGCGCTCCGAGGTGTACACAACACTCTGCACGATGTGTACATCCTGTGCCTGACAATGCTCTGCAATTGATTTGGCATCACATTCGGGGTCCACGTTGCCAACGTAGAACACTTTGACTCTTGGCTTACCCGTTAGTGCACATCGGGTGGTGCTCTTTGGAAGCTTGGGTGCCAGCCAGCGAGACGATTCCTGTCGCCTGTACGGCTTGGGAGGCTGGCGTTGTGGCCTTTGGGCAGCTGGGGCAGCTGCAGGGGCAGTATTTTTGGGCTGCAATGCTGGTTGTTGGTGCAAAGTTTCTGCATACGTGGGTCGATGTTGTGGGGTGGAGGATACGGTTTTGGTAAAGCTTGGTTCAGTGGGGTCATTGTTCAAAGTTTGAATCACCGTATCGTACCTCTCAACTTTGGCATGCAGGTCGTTCCTAAGTTCCCGTACTTCCGTCTTCAGGCACAACACCTCTCTGGCAGAATCGTTGAATTTAGCTTCTATTTCTCTCATGGCGTGTAACTCAGTCTTCAACTCTCGGACGACATTAGTGAGTTCAGACAGAGCTGAGCACAGGCTGGCAACAACACCCTCATTAGCAGCCAGGGGGCTCGTGCTAGTAGGTTCACTTACTTCTTTGTCCTCATCCAGCGATGTTCTGAGCAGGGCAACAAGATCGGGTCTGGTGGCTTTTCGTGGGATTTCCAGTCCACGCTGCCTGATGAACGTACATGTACATGTTCTTGTAAACGTACATGTACATGTACGTGTGCAGTGCTTTCACTAACTAATTACTTACATGAGACTTGTACATTGTTTCCGAGTCCATAATACTCCAAGGACATGTACTCAACGCGCAACAAGTACAACCTTCTCTAGATTCCCCAAACTGGCACAATGGCATTGAAACGGTCCAAGACGAAATGATAGTAGCCGACTGGCCGAAATTAAAAAAAAAAAAAGTCCTTGTGAAGTTGATGCTGACATTGCCATTTCCAATGCCCCTGGGTATATATCACTTAATTTTAGCGAAAGTCCAGTTGAGAATCCTTCACAAGTAAAGCTACAACCATTAATTTGCGCCTCGGTGATGGGTGAACTTTAACTGTTAGTACGATGGTACATGTACCTCCTGTCCTAGTCCGGGAACGTTGTGGGAAGTATTACTTATGTACATGTGCTTTAAAAAAGGAATGGGAATGATGTCATTGATGACACCAGTAGCTGTGCGTTGGGTCACGTGGATGCTCTATGAATTAGAAAGCAACATACCAGAGGAATGAATGACAGTACCAATGACAGTGGCAATCATAGACATACTAGTACCCATCCGAATAATTTATGGTGCTCTTCATTGTGATACCCTGACTCACTGTACCAGGCCACGAAACACACTTTTCTTCAAAGGGAATCGACTCATGTTATGTACATGTACATGTACCTAGGTGGTTTGGGATTCTCCTAGTCTAAGTAGCGTTCATTGTTTCGTCTTGAATAACGCGATGGGATCCACTTCTTGATACTAGTAATCCGCTGCTTTGGACTAACGCTATGTGAGAGCTAGAGGTCAAGCTGCTGAACTATGCGGTTAAAATCAATGTCACGGCATGGTGCCTCTTCAAGGAAGCCTCCATGTTGATCATCAGTCCTCCCACGCACAGAACTTTCCCATCGACGACCGGTCTGAGATCACTTCGGGTCGTGTGAACTAAACAATTCATGCATTTCATATCCTTAAACGGTCTAGTACTTAGTACTAGTAGTGGTAGTAGAGGTCCCGTGGCGATTGTGAGCGAGGCGCACTTGAAAATTCAAAGCTCGGAGCCCGTCTTGTTTCAACCTTGCTGAAATGTGGCCAACTCAACCCCAACGGCCCAAGCCAAGCCAGCTAGACGCTAGTACTGACTGTATACATGTAGTGTAGTAGATCAACAAAATTTACTGGTCAGCTGACTGAGGGAGTCATGTCCTGTATGCTCTGCATTCCTGCAGACTGCGCTGGCAGTATTTATGCACCTTGGCATGTTTACGGAGTGTCACTCCTGTTGCCACACTCCCTGGGCACGAAACCGTCGTTAGGTTTCTCCGGGGCTCTTTCAGTTTGGAGGATACTGCAGGTAGCGTGAGCGACTTCTGGAAATGCGGGCGGTGGCTGTGTGCCTGTTGGTGACGTTCCTGGTTGATCGGACAAGGTAAGGATATATGCCGAGAGAAACTATGTCGACTAGGCCGCTGTTTATACTGCGCAAAAAATATGTCACCATGTGCTGTGAATTGTGCAATCATTCCTCATTGGCTTGGTGCATGGTAATGAGTACCCTCTTTATTATTCAAACAGTAGTTTGGAGGCGGTGGGAAAAGAAGAAGAGAAAGAGAGAAGGGAAAGAAAACGTTTGATAGAAAAGAAGTGTCTACTGAATTGTGTGGATTTGCGTCGTTGCATGCGAATACTTATTACGAAACTCTTTATTATTATGGTTTGATACACTCATTGTCAAGATATTCTCGCTAAAACACAGGATTGTCTTTTTAGGAACACATTCAGTTTTGTAGCAAGCACCTTGATAATCTCAGCGAGTGATTTGTTGGCCGGAATGTTTTGGGAAAGAACAATAGAGTACTGCCGTACCATACACCACCATCCTTTACTTCACACGTGCTAGTGGAGTGCACACTCACTATAAGTATAACAGTAGAGGACTATGATCAGGACTGATTCTCTCACGCTTGTCATTATGGTTAAACTGTATGTACTTCAAGTAGCAGGGTTCAAGCCAGGAAAACGTGTTTGGGGGGGGGGGCGGGGAGGGCGGGGGGGGGGGGGGGAGGAGGAGGAGGTAGGGAAACAAAATTTTCCCCCGTTTTTCCATGTTCCACTATTGCCTTGTCACAAAAATGCAACGTATGGTGCACAGAGCACCCGGAGCAATCGATTTGTGGCCGCATTTTCGCTGCTTGAACTTAAGCAAATACAAAAAGGGAGAACATGGGTAGGGTGGTACGCTGTCAGAGTAGGGGACCCGCCATCAGTGGGGGGGGGGGGGGGGGGGGGGCGCTGCGCCCCTACCGAACCCTGCATAGGTGGACATGCAGAGTATTTGCAACCAGATTTCCATAATTTGTGCTGCTGTGCTGATCAACTAACTTTTCTTACATACATTACTGTCATTAGGTGAACTTGAAGTGTGCAGTCTTGTTTTGCAACTCAGTGTTAATGGCCGGCTGGGGGTGGCGCTGGGGGGGGGGGGCAGTACAGCAGGCTCTGTGCTGTGTCGGATCAAGGTGTGCCATGTGCTGTGTGCTGTGTGTGTGATCAGTGCTACAAGTGCTTTCATGCCGGGTAATAGCAGAACAGGAAAGTACTCACCTAGGCTACTGCAAGTGTCACAGCTGAGAAAGTTATACCAGATATTATCTAGGTAGTTGAGGATGCCAACTGCGAATTCTAATCAAGTTTTGTTTTGTTTTGTTTTCAAGAGGCAATCCTTGATGGGCACTTCATTTGGGATACAGTTGTCACCTCAACTTGTATTTCTGATACTGGACTGCTGTTACCTGTGACCCCTTGAAATCGGATGTTCTTGTTGTATCACTAGCCAAGTGTGTTAGGTCTATGATGGGTAAACAAGGGCCCTTCCTGCTTGGAAAAGACCATGCACAGCATGGGTATAGTAGAGCAGTTAGCGTTGTTATGGGAGCTCTGAACACACTGCTAATACTGGTATCTGTCCAGGTTACCATTGTACTGATGTTCTACTAATTGTGACTTGTAAGCTGTACATGATTGTACATGCTAAGGTGTGTGTTGGATTGGATGTGAAGTATTGTCTAGTTGTTAACCCTCTGTTGTCCGTGCATACAAGCATCGATCCAATGGGCTTGATGGGGTAGGCATTCAATTTATAGTAACTTGAGAGATTAAAATATGTATCAATACTGTCTCCAAAATTTAACTCAGATGGATAACCAAGGATTAAAACGACCTTCGATCCTTTCTTCTCCATTATATCACTGTCTCCGAACCCTTTTTGCAGTACAGGGGAACTTGGTATTCGTATCCTAATTTTTAAAAGTTCTGTCACAAACAGTGAAGCGTAACGTGTTGGATCACTGCTGTAAATTGTTCAGAAGAAAAGAACCCTCATGTCGTTTTTTTGTAATTCTTGTGTGTGCCCAATGAATTGCCTTTCAGTGCCATTTCAGCAAGTCACAGCTGGGAATGTCACCTATCACCAGATGCAGTCGATACCACACTGACTAGTGAAGAGCATGCTACCAAGTTCAGCTTGCCCAACGGCTTTGGACCGGGCGCAGAAGCCACATTTGTCAGTCCCGACACGCCGGCGAGTGAGAAGCACGAGGCGTGCAGTAATCTCCGGCACGGCCGTTATCCACCCAACACCGAGTGCATATTCAACTATGAGTCGGCTGAAAACTCCTGGGTGTTTATGAAGTTCAAATCATTCCGCCTTGATCTCGATTGCCAAGCTGACTGGGTCCGAGTACAAACTGTTGGTGCGCCGATTGGCAGCGAGTTTGATGAGACCTTCAGCGCATGCAACGTGCCGACTGAAGTCATTTCGGACGGGACGATCATCCCCTGGCGACATGTGCGTCTCACGTTCAGGTCGGATGATGCATTCAGTTGCCGTGGTTTCATTGCTCTCTTCATTGGACATATTCCCTTTTGGGGTAAGTAGTGAGTCCATTCCAATAGATAATGTAATTATTGCAAAGGAGTAAGTTTGGCAAATGCCGGCAAAGTGCTCAATGCACAAAGTGCAGAGCGTTTCTCACGAATCACGACAAATCCAAACTGGACCTATTTCTCTTTTTCGTGTTTCGTGTTATAATGATTGTATAGAAGATTGAAGAATGCGGAGACATGCGGAGTATTACATGAATTTGTACGCGAGCACTCTACATGATGTCATCTTCGGCCGATCGGGTTTTCGGGTACTATTCTGTGCCCGTCAAGCCTAGGTCCTCGCGGGTACCACGGGTACCCGACTACCCGAGGTCTTCACGGGTAGCACGGGTACCCAACTACCCGTGTACACCACTAATCAGAAGCACAAGCTCGTTAGTGTGTATCCAGCAATGTTTTCATGCTTTGGATCACAGCATTGTATTAGAGAGGTTAAGATGCACGTATTTCTTTGATTGATTTTTATTTCACGGATCCTCCAGAGGCAAATAGATGCCTATCGAAGGGAGTCTCCTAAGTAAGTATGGAAAATGAGAAAGTATGTTCGTAAGGGAGAAGAGGTAGAAGATACATTAGTACAAAAGAAGTAAATTTCTGACGTGACGCAAAAGTTCAGCTCGCGTTACTTGGCTTGCACGTCGAAATATCAACGCGAGTGACCTGCTGCTCACATCGAAATTTGGAGTTTTACGCCAAATTTGACGTGAAATTGCGCGTCACGTCGGAAATACCGTGCATCTTAACCTCTCTATTGTCTGTACCTGTACGTATAGTTTAGGTAGTTTTCAGGTTTACTTGCTCACCATGAAGCGACCTGAGTGCTCAGTCAAGTGTCACATTTAGTTGCGACACAAACTGATTGTATTTATTGTACCGAAACAATCTGCACTAATTCCTCTAGGCATGTTGGTCTGAAAAACGATTCTGATGGTTGCTCTATTCTAACATGCAAATGACTTGACTTATCAGCAACCCTTTCAGTGTCGACGTCAGTTTTCCTGGTTGTGCCGTTCCCTCATCCAGTCTTGCGATTGATATGTGCTAGAAGAAAATTAGTAGCTGCATCCGATGCCTCAGTGCCTAATCATAGTTTGGTGGCGTCCCCCGTAAGCGGAAACCTGGTTCTCAACCTGCCCAGTTCGTGGATCCGTAAAATATAATCCAACACGTTTGGTGTACGATTCCCTCGGAGACAAGAATGCTTTTACGAAGAAGGCCACACTTTCTTGTACAGCATCTTGACAGTTTTCACTGGTATACTTTCAAGCCTTATCGTCAGGTGAAATACAGGCAAAATCAATTGAATAAGGACACTGTCCTTGCCTCCTGATGATAAGGCTTGAAAGCGTACTAGCGAGAACTTTCAAGAAGTTGTTTTTAAAAGAGCCTGAAGTGCGTCATTTTTCTAAGTATAGTCACGTTGTATTTGTGTTCGTAATTCTTTATCATGCTCAGCAAGCGGTGCCCCAGCGGGTCAGGCCGGATACCTGCCAGGTGGAGGTCCTGGACGTAAGTTACAACTGGAGAAATTCTGTCCTTGGAATGTGCTGTTGTGGGAACATGTATGCTCTTTGTGATCTGAACAGTGTACCGTGGGCAGTAGCCATGCTAGTATTTTTACTACATTTAAAATAGGGATGCAAGGTATATTCATATATTCGATTGATATTCGTTTGGAGCCCGATGGAAGGAATATTTTCCCCTCTGGAATATTCGTTTGTTGTGACACATGCACATAGTATGCTATAGTGTAGCTCTATTGTAGTAATTCTAGAACGGATGGAGTGGTATGTGCATGTGTTATGTGTTGAGAAAGGGGACTATGACTCACAAGAGTAGGGGACATGACTCCACTAGACATCTACTTGGTCTAGAACGACCGGGGAAAAGCCAAACTCTTTATAGGATTCTTTTGGTATAGAGTATTGGATTCATTTAGAAAAATTCGATTTTGTTCCGATTTAAATATTTGTTTCACCCCTAGAAAGAATTCAGCATTTTGAGAGAATACTTAGCATTCGTTATTCATTCGTTGTGGGTGAGTAATAGTTCCTTTGTGAAATAGAATATTCGTTGCAGCCCTAAATTTTAAAACATCAAAGACAGGAGCCATTCCCACATGGATTTGGTTCTTTTTTTGTCCCGGCGTGATTGCGTATCACCCTACCCTGTAACTTCCCTTGCATTGCCCTCATCAGTTTAAAACAGTGACATGGACAGTTACTGTAGACGGTGAAAATAAAGAAAATAAAAAGGAAGTAGAAATACTGAACTACATCACCGTTTTGGAAGTATCTGATGCACCAAAACATTTCCCTCTATTCTCACTGTGATGACTACGTAGTATGAAAAGCTTCTTAACACGGGAAACAGGGTGTTTCCTCACTCACTGTGATCACTAGGTAGTATGAAAAGCTTCTTAACACGGGAAACAGGGTGTTTCCTCACTCACTGTGATCACTAGGTAGTATGAAAAGCTTCTTAACACGGGAAACAGGGTGCTTCCTCACTCACTGTGATCACTACGTAGTATGAAAAGCTTCTTAACACGGGAAACAGGGTGTTTCCTCACTCACTGTGATCACTACGTAGTATGAAAAGCTTCTTAACACGGGAAACAGGGTGTTTCCTCACTCACTGTGATCACTACGTAGTATGAAAAGCTTCTTAACACGGGAAACAGGGTGTTTCCTCACTCACTGTGATCACTACGTAGTATGAAAAGCTTCTTAACACGGGAAGCAGGGTGTTTCCTCACTCACTGTGATCACTTGGTAGTATGAAAAGCTTCTTAACACGGGAAACAGGGTGTTTCCTCACTCACTGTGATCACTACGTAGTATGAAAAGCTTCTTAACACGGGAAACAGGGTGTTTCCTCACTCACTGTGATCACTACGTAGTATGAAAAGCTTCTTAACACGGGAAACAGGGTGTTTCCTCACTCACTGTGATCACTACGTAGTATGAAAAGCTTCTTAACACGGGAAACAGGGTGTTTCCTCACTCACTGTGATCACTACGTAGTATGAAAAGCTTCTTAACACGGGAAACAGGGTGTTTCCCCATTCACTGTGATCACTACGTAGTATGAAAAGCTTCTTAACACGGGAAACAGGGTGTTTCCTCACTCACTGTGATCACTACGTAGTATGAAAAGCTTCTTAACACGGGAAACAGGGTGTTTCCTCACTCACTGTGATCACTACGTAGTATGAAAAGCTTCTTAACACGGGAAACAGGGTGTTTCCTCACTCACTGTGATCACTACGTAGTATGAAAAGCTTCTTAACACGGGAAACAGGGTGTTTCCTCACTCACTGTGATCACTACGTAGTATGAAAAGCTTCTTAACACGGGAAGCAGGGTGTTTCCTCACTCACTGTGATCACTTGGTAGTATGAAAAGCTTCTTAACACGGGAAACAGGGTGTTTCCTCACTCACTGTGATCACTACGTAGTATGAAAAGCTTCTTAACACGGGAAACAGGGTGTTTCCTCACTCACTGTGATCACTACGTAGTATGAAAAGCTTCTTAACACGGGAAACAGGGTGTTTCCTCACTCACTGTGATCACTACGTAGTATGAAAAGCTTCTTAACACGGGAAACAGGGTGTTTCCTCACTCACTGTGATCACTACGTAGTATGAAAAGCTTCTTAACACGGGAAACAGGGTGTTTCCCCATTCACTGTGATCACTACGTAGTATGAAAAGCTTCTTAACACGGGAAACAGGGTGTTTCCTCACTCACTGTGATCACTACGTAGTATGAAAAGCTTCTTAACACGGGAAGCAGGGTGTTTCCTCACTCACTGTGATCACTTGGTAGTATGAAAAGCTTCTTAACACGGGAAACAGGGTGTTTCCTCACTCACTGTGATCACTACGTAGTATGAAAAGCTTCTTAACACGGGAAACAGGGTGTTTCCTCACTCACTGTGATCACTACGTAGTATGAAAAGCTTCTTAACACGGGAAACAGGGTGTTTCCTCACTCACTGTGATCACTACGTAGTATGAAAAGCTTCTTAACACGGGAAACAGGGTGTTTCCTCACTCACTGTGATCACTACGTAGTATGAAAAGCTTCTTAACACGGGAAACAGGGTGTTTCCCCATTCACTGTGATCACTACGTAGTATGAAAAGCTTCTTAACACGGGAAACAGGGTGTTTCCTCACTCACTGTGATCACTACGTAGTATGAAAAGCTTCTTAACACGGGAAACAGGGTGTTTCCTCACTCACTGTGATCACTACGTAGTATGAAAAGCTTCTTAACACGGGAAACAGGGTGTTTCCTCACTCACTGTGATCACTACGTAGTATGAAAAGCTTCTTAACACGGGAAATAGGGTGTTTCCTCACTCACTATGATCACTACGTAGTATGAAAAGCTTCTTAACACGGGAAACAGGGTGTTTCCTCACTCACTGTGATCACTACGTAGTATGAAAGCTTCTTAACACGGGAAACAGGGTGTTTCCTCACTCACTGTGATCACTACGTAGTATGAAAAGCTTCTTAACACGGGAAACAGGGTGTTTCCTCACTCACTGTGATCACTACGTAGTATGAAAAGCTTCTTAACACGGGAAACAGGGTGTTTCCTCACTCACTGTGATCACTACGTAGTATGAAAAGCTTCTTAACACGGGAAACAGGGTGCTTCCTCACTCACTGTGATTGCTAGTACCGTGTCTCAGTGGCCGCGAATCACGTTTGCATGAAGCTCCAAGTTGCAACGATGTGCACTGTAAACTTCACTCTGCCTCCTGTTGAAGTTTCAGGTACATGCCTCTAGTGCTTGGATAAGTTCATGATGGCTGTCAAAGGAATATGTATGTACATGTACTAGTATGTCACTAGCAATCTGTTTAGGTTGCTCCTAGCTGTTTGGGTCAGCAAAGATTTTCATTGTTGTCAGGAAATATCTGTGAAAGAAGAGAGAATATTTAAAATACAGTTCTGATCAGAGGTATGTACATGTTGTCAATGTGCTGTAACAGGTCGTGGCTTCCAGAATTTACAAAGAGCCGTTCCGGAGAAAGATGTTTCAACGAAGCAATGAATTAAAAAAAATGAAGCCGACATAATACCATGATGAACTAATAAAATAGAATATTTGAAGTAGAATTAAAAAGTCGGCGTTGTTGTGTTCTGCCTGGTGATGTCATGGTGTATTTTCTCACCTGTGCTTTGCAGATCCAGGTGGTCAGTCTATTTGTGGAGTCAGTACAGTAAGTAGAACACTACAAATAGTTACCGTCGATGAATAATTATCCTATCCACGATGGGAATTAACCGTATTGCGTGACCGATCCTTTCAATGTTCTAATCTTTACGTTTCCTTTCCCACCTGGACTCCTCCTTGGCTTACCTTTTCTCGCTAGCTCTCCTCTTGTACGTTCTTGCTATTAAGCGGGATTCACAGAAGCTTTTTTGCGATGCGGCACGCGATGCGACAGCCGCGAAACCAGGAAATCCCCAAACCGCAGCCATCTCACAGCCCACGCAACTGCCGCAGCTGCGCCATCGCAGAAATTGAGCTTGGCTCAACTTTGGCGATGCGACACGCGATTTGACGTACGAATTTAACCTTTTCTACGGCAAAGTTGTACAAAGGTTCAAGAGTTGCCTGTAAAAGTTGTACCAAACCTCGCGTATACCATGGTGACGTAGCCACCTGCATTGAACTTCGCGCCAAATCAGCAAGGCGTTGTCGCATTGCTGACTTCTTCTGTGAATGGTATTTCGCGAGTTCGCATCGCACGCGTCCGTCGCAGATCACATCACATCGCGTGTCGCATCGCAAAAAAAGCTTCTGTGAATCCTGCTTTAAAACAAGTCGATCAATCCATGGATTGTCATGGGAAGCTTGAATAAAACTCGGGCATTAGTGTTGGTGTTATCAATCTCCTTAGGTTCGTCAATACCTCTTGCCACTCAACGAGACGAAGGAAATGTGCACTTTAGGGGTGAAAAGGTATTGGGACAATATTCATTTGGTTTATAATTCTGGATGTGTAAGACGCCACTCTAGCCAGCATCTGTAATATTCGTGTATCATCTTTTCAGAAGTTGTCTGTCTCTTTCTCAATTTCGAAATTTGGTTGTATTGTGATTGATTGCTTTGTCTCTTTGCAGCCTGTCCGACCACCAGGTTTACGTGGTTTGCAGACGTACAGTAATATCGGGAGAACAAGGAGAAGTGTGGCCAAGAGTTCACAACTGCAGGGTGAGCCTGGCTTGGCGTATGTGCGGGACAAAAGAGCTAACACGGATATTGATGCGTTAAGGGAGATGTACTGCAATGACGAGGAAGTCCAGAGCGACATTGCACCGAAGGGAGATCTTCGAAAGAATAACAAGGGCGAGGCTGGCCGGCCCGGAGGTCTCATCGGACACAAAGGCTCGAGTTCTACGTCGGACCCTTGCAGTAGAGCCAACGTACTCAAGCGCTTTCTCAAGGAGAAACGGGATAAGTTGAGAGTTCTGGAGACGCTTCTTGGTGATCATGATTGCAGTGACTCATGTACCATCATTAGACGAGTCTGCGCCAGAACTGACTGTAGTACCCAATGCAACATAACAAGCTCTCCAAACCCCGCTACCACCACCACCACCACCCAGCAAGCCTTCCTGTATGATGAAACGGAATCAGCTTGCGAGTCAAACACCCTCACTTCAACTCTTACTGATGTTGGCGAGCCACCATATTGGAACAGTGGAAAACAGGGTGTGCGGGGCATCCAAAACCCTGTTACTGTTCGCATTCCAATATTACCACCAAAGGGTGCCCCACCAACGAGCACAAGGATACGGCGACCACCTATTAGTGGCCCACCAGGTCCTCCTGGGTCCAGGGGCCCACCAGGTCCGCCTGGGTCACCAGGTGCTCCTCGGTCCCGGGGCCCACCAGGTCCCCCTAGGCCCAGGGGCCCACCAGGTCCTCCTGGGTCCAGGGGTCCACCAGGACCTGCCGGTTACAGGGGACGACCAGGTCCTCGTGGGTCCAGGGGACGACCAGGTCCTCCTGGTGCACGCGGCCCTCCAGGCCGTCGCCGCCGAGAAACGAGCCTGGAGACAGACTCACATATTATCCTGAACGAGGAGATCGATCAGCCACTGGAACATCATCGTGAACAGCGTCAGATTAAAGATGCACAGCAAGGTCCACAGGGCCTTCTAGGTGACCCAGGTGAAATTCGGTCTGGGAAAAGGAAGCCCAAGCTGCCAGATGAGTGTCGTTGCCGTAAGTGCAAAAAATAGTACCGCAGAAGATTGCACTGGCCAGAACAGAAACTAACATTTTTTTAAACAAATAGTGTGTTAGGACTTACAGCGCTAGTAGTCATGAGTCATGGTTATGACACGTGCAACTGCCACTGATAGGTTGTGTTCACAGTAATTCAGGCGCGTGCCCCGTATGGGTTCCTGGGTGCCCGGAACCCCCCCCCTTTTTCGCTCAAAATGCAGGATTTTGCTTCATTTTTTGAAAATTTTCCCCGAGGGAGGCCCCGGAACCCCCCCCCCTTGAAAGGCACCGGCGCACGCGCCTGAGTATTGTAGGCTACATGTTTAAGTATACGTGTATGTACAATGTACGTACTAAGCCTGCTGCTGATTACTAGTATACGGCTAATTCTTTCGCAGTCAACAAGCACTGGGAGCATTTGTTCGACATATTTTCATTGCAGCATACGTGTTTGTACTGTATTGATGCTAGTTTTTTTTTAATGATATTCTTTATGTGTTGGTCATTCCAACACTTGGAGGTTAGCCCTTGAGAGTAGATTCTTGTGATCCACAAAAGAGGCTATGATACCTTCATGCAGGATAACTTTCATGTATTCAGTCATTTCAAAAATGTCTTCAAACCTGATGCACGCTGCACTGTAGTACTGGGCGTAATTTGTAAAACTAGTGATTTCCGATAGCTTGGTCATTCTCCTCCAAGTGTGGACTCTGATGAGTTAGTGTACGGCAACAATGGTCACAATGTGACAACATCACATCTGCTGATGAAAGCAAGGAAAGCACGTACGGGTAACCCCATGTTCCTTCTCAATCTTTGAATCAATGATGGGTGGGAGAGAGGGGAGGGTATTCTCCTAGGAAAGACGTAACCATATAACTTTGTATAATTCCTGATTCTCAAATAAAGAGCAACGCTGAGATAAAAGTACATGTATTATTTAATTATAGTACTTTTTCAAGTATATTGGAAATACGAACGGTAGGCAAAATTTAATAGATTGTAGGGCAATATTTCATTCAAAATACATCTTTGATAGCATAGGTGGGAGTCATGAAATATCTCAAGGTCAAGCCAAACATAAAAACATTATCACTTATGCTTGGAATTTCGTAAGCGATTATAATCGCATCATGCTTCAACTGGCCGCTGCTCGACGAACGTTTGCGGTCGCCACATGACAAGACCGGCTGGTAGGCTTAGGGCGGCCGGTTGATGGGGGATGATGGAGAATTGGGGTTGTTGGTGCGGCTGCTGCTGGTGGTGTTCAGAGGAGTCGGATGATGCAGGACCTGTACTGGTTGGCGAGGAGCAGTCCGACCTGGGATGGTAAGATAGAGCAGCACACAGGTACACACACAGTTTATCAATATGTGACCTGGCTAGAGAATAGCGTTGGGATCAAAACACTTGGAAACGCTGAGAAGATTGTAAGAGAATTTCGAAGAATTCTGAAGTCTACTGTAATGCAAAGGGTACTATAGTTTGGGGTTCAATGAGCGAGAGACATTATCATGGTGGCAAGAAACCAGTACAGAATGGTAAGTGCTCAGAGATACATGTAGGGCACAAGACAACAAGTACTTCACACTCTAGTGACTTCACATGTATGTTTCCAATGAACGATAGATGACTCAGGAGTCTGGAGAGTGATATCAGAATGGCAGTGTACTATGATAGTGTAATGGGGCAGCTGTAGCTGCTTCAACCTTCCTAAACGTAGCATATGAGAGTAATCTAACGACGAGACACACATGCACGGTATGTTCATCATAGTAACGTATACGTTTTAAGTCATGATCTTACCCTCTGACTACCCACGCTGGAGTACCATCCTGTGACGATGAGCTTGAGTGACTAGAAACAGCCATATCATCCTGATGGCCGCGACTACGCTGACGTTTGTTCTTGAACCTGCGCAGGGCAGCAACAAGGAAGGAGACGAAAAACAGCAATGGTGTCAGCACAGCCTTTTTTGGTGCATTGTTGTCACTTGTGTGGCTATGCTGATATTGGATGCTGGGGCAGAGATGTCAAATTTGGCTTCACCAGTCATGCCTGCTGCCATTGTACACATTCTGTTGTCAGCTGAGTAATGCCAGGATGATTGTAGGTGTCCAGAGGGATAGATCCATGACACTGACTGGAAACGTAATGTCATAAATCTATGCATTGCCAGTGCATGTACATGTACATGTATGGGAACGGAGCGAATTTAGCATCATACTCATAGTTAGTAGCTAGTCTCGGCCTTTGGGAGCCGGCATTGACCGGCCTTTCCAATCTAGGCAGCAGTGCACAGCAGGAGCACTCTACTCTCTAGGGCAGCTATGACAACGCTGGGTGCGTGGCGGGCGCTATGGGATTCAGATTACCCGTACCCGTACATGTACATGTGCATATGACGCACATGTAGCTTCTGCACTGGACGACAGGGATTCCCAATAATTATTAATTTAAAGGGCGTCTACATCTGCTTAGAGGAAGTCGCAGCAATTCGATTCATTGAATACACAAGAAATTCCCCTAGGTCCAGACACATGCATGTACACTGCGCATGTAGGAGGAGTAATGAAGTGACAAGATTCCCGCCATGTCGGGTGGTCTTAGTGGGTAGTACTGCCGAGCTGTAAGCTGTGGGTGTGAGACATGACACAACGCCCTATGGCCTACTCAGCTACACAAGCAGTGCACGTTAAAATCGTCCCTTCGATCCGACTTCGCATATTCGGCGAGGTCAATGGCGCAGGTGAAGATGCATTTCTTGTCTCAAGGGAAGCTGTCGCAGCGCCCTTTCGAGCCACTTGTAAGGAAAAGGGAACTCAATGTCGCACTTTTCCTTCCTAACAGGTTACTGAAGTAAAAGGACTAACGCTGTTTATCCGTTTGTGATAAGGACTAGCGATAATGGCAAAGCAGTCCAAATTCAAAGGTTTGAGCGAGTTGAAAACGGGAAAGTCTAAAGAAAAAAATAGTAACTACCGGTGTCCCTAACTAGATTCGCATGAGGAATCCTCACTTTAGGCCATCGTTGGCCTACCACTTTTAATTAAAGTCATGTTGCATTGGTTCCAATTTTCACTTACCAATTGCTGACCTGGACGATGGTCAGGTTCGTCATGGCGGCTAGCTCTTGTTTTTGCTGTGCAGTTGGATACTGACTGCGATTGAACGCCACTGTCAACGTCTCGCGAACACGCTCGTCGAAGCAGAAGCTTGGCTGCGGGCCCTCGCAGATCGTGGCCGGCGGCGGGTACTTTCTCCGTACGCGGTACTTGCCGACCGGTCCGAGAGCCTTTCCGCACCGCCTCTGTTCCGCTTCGTCGTAGTGCGCTTCGAACCAGAGATTCTGTAGCGTGGCGTGATGGGCACGGTCGAAGCAGCGGTTTCGGAGCATGCTGTAAAGTTCGGAGTAGCGACGCTGCTGGTAACACAATGCGCATCGACTGACCAGAATCGAATCGTTATTTGTAAACTGGGGAGTTCGTGGTAAGGACCATAACAAGCGATCTAAGCGATCAAACTGCCTTGCTTCCAGCAAGGTGTTGCAAGCCGACTCAATGTCGGCAATGGAAAGAAGAGGTACAACCGACATGATGCCACGATGTCTTGAAACCAATGATCTGCAAGTAAAACTTTTTTTACAGCAAACAGCTAACTCACCAGCAACAGGACAAAGTGGAACTGATCTTCTCAGGCGAAGTGCAAGGACTTTTACTACCTTCCCACGCCAGTGTGCGAAACGGAGAGAATGAAGCGGATACTTTTGGGTGATGTCGTCAAAACCGCACGCCAGATCATTTATCATAATTTTCCTCTGCTACATTGCTTCTTGGATTGGCAGCACAGTGACAGTTGACTTGGGAAAGCTGTCCAGGCAGTGACATTCGACAAACCACCTTCTTTGCAGGACAAGCAGCTTACGAATGCCACAGGCGACCTCCAGCTACTGCCTTCCCACGATCCCACAGGCCGTGCTGATCTGTTTAGGAATCCACGCTCACTTCACCATGCCATGCACTGATGTAGTGCTCAGACACTGGGCCGGGATAGTATCGACATTGCAGACAGCCAGCCACAGCTATTCATGAGCCGCACTGTCATGGAGACCTTACACGCTTACAGAGACGCGCTACAGTACAGAGAGTCTGAGAGACTGCATGTGTGTAGGCAGTTCGCCGGCATTCAGGATCAGGACAGGTATCAGCAGCAAGACTGGATTCAGTGTCCGTGTCCTGCAAGTACAAGACGGTGAGGTACAGGTGCCAGTATCGATCCGACGATCAGTGACTCGGCTTTGGAGCCGGCTCAGCCGAGTGGAATTCATGGCAAGGCTCCATCCGTGTCGTGGATAGGTTGCAGGGGGGACGAGCTGAGAGTGAGACGATTCCATGATTGCGCTTGCCTCAGAGGCACGCCGGAGTGGACAGGGTTTGTGCGTAAGACCGTACTGCTGCTGGGCTCACACGACACTGGACAACATTGGCGTCGCTGAGGACAATGTCCCCAGGATAGACAACACAAATCAAGGAGTTCACTAACCTAGATGAGCTTAGTTCATCTATCATATGTGTGGATAGGCTGCAGGCAGGTTTATCAACACGGAACATGAGTCTACTGGTGGACAATGACTATAATTATGCGTGCTATACCAAGCCATGCTACGCCATAACAACAATCAGAAACAGGCCGGGTTGAACTCCCGGACGTCTCCGGAGCCAAGGAATTCAGGCATCTGACTTTCTCCCTCTGAAGGGCACAGCCAGACAAGCCTCCAAGAGGTCCTCTTTCTCACGCTGTAAACCAGTGCTGCGCCCTAATGGGCTTTTCGGGACATCCTTGTTGGCCGCCAGCTGATTGCGATAGGAGTAAGATGGGCGGGCAGTCACGGCGGCAGGTGGACAGGTGGGCATGACACGGGAGAGATTATAATTTTCACTGAGAAAGGCACACTGCAGTACCGCATACACCAACAGTACGTACATGTGCCTCTCACAGCTCAGACCTCCTGTTCCATACCTACACGACTACTCCGCACATCACACTCGGGGATTTCGTACATCATGTACTGTAGTACATGTAATCATGGATGAGAAACGTTCTTCCCGCAAACATGCCGCTCTCTGCATGTGGTTTGCCATGCGACCGTGCCCGGTTCCTGCATGTGTGAGCGTGTTCCACACAGGTGTGTAAATCCCTGAGTGAGGTGAAGATTAGGAAAGGACACTACAATCATGTACATGAACGTCGGTGACATGGCTGAGCCAAAGAATCAAGAATGCGATTCGGACAGATGCGGGGTCAGAGCGGACAATATCAATCTCATATCGCTGGTTCTCTATCACTTATCTATGAGAACTGTCTCCGAGTGCCGACAACAAAACTGAGTTTGCGATCAACACCTAGAGGTAGTTTCTCACGACAAAGCTGCACTCCGCACTCCTAACCTATTCTCCCATGGCGCCTTAGTACGAGACTCTTTCCGGATCATGCGGCTCTTCCTTGAACAGTTTGGTTTGCTGTGTTCCTTGTGCCCTCCAAGATGTTCTAACTACTTAGTTAGTCCCAGGCTTCCCAGCGATCGCAGACGTCAGACCAGATGGCAGCAGTCTCCAGTGCAGCTGATGCGGATGCTAATGGGCCTGAGTTATTAGTCCTAATCCTACAACATGTAGTTATAATTATGCTCTACATTGGCCATTCCTGGCGGACCAGATACATGTAATACAATGCACATGTATTGTATTGTATTGTATTTATTTAAAAGGATTCTCCAAAAGCAAATGGATGCTTATCACGGAAGTCTATGTGGTAACAAGCAGGTGCCTGGGAGGTTTGACCTGAACATGTGTGTTTGAGTGTGCATGGTGTCGCCTTCTTTCAAAGTTGAAATAATCATCATCCAGTCGGTGCCTAACAGCTACATGTAGTTCGTCGCGCTGAGGCAGTTTATGCCCTAAGCCGGTGTCGATTACCAGTCTGCGGTTGCATACTGACCCACAGCACATGGCCACAGCGTACAGGACACATCGCTGTGCCATCACTGGAAATGTGAGGGATCGGGTTTCATGTTCCACTGTTGTACAGCTTTATCGCCCGGCTCCGATTCATCATGCCCGTCTGCTGTGACTGATGTGGGCTGGCGTTGACAACACAACATGGTGTCACTTAGCGTACCGTCTTCAGGGACTGAGCAGCAGACACCAAGAAGCTGCTGTATGATCTGACACCTACTTGACAGCGTTCTCAGGCTTTCTTGACGTCCGGATTGCGTTTAACAGCTCTGTCACCCGGAGCTTGTATGCCCCAAGACTAGCTATGCATAGCCGGCGGGAATACATTAGTAAAGTGATCTCTGACACCACGTACGACTCCGGGAGACTCGGGCTGAGCTCGTCTCAGCTGCTTACAAATTCCAGCGCGCCGACACAGCAATACAGTGCGATTGGCTTCATTCGTTGATCTCTGATAGATGGAGTGACGGGAACTGCATTCTTGACGCACTATTGATATTACGCAGTATGAAGTGATTGATGTACAGTTTAGGTGCAAGCAACTTCAGTCAATTAGTTGCACTGTGATCTCCCTTTAATATGCCATGCACCACTCAACATTGGATTGATTTACTGACGCAGCACGTGAAGTACATGCAGTACCAGTATAGGATGTGCTTGGGTTGTGAGATAAACAACAGTCATGCAAAGATCTGATGGCGTCGTCACCCTGTCGTCATCTCTCTTATCAGCAACCGACTCCAATCTATCTCAGTGACTCGCTTCGTGATCGATTCGGAGGGCGATGAAGTCTAAAACAATTGCGTCAAGATTAGGTATATTTGCTTGACATTCAACCTTGCCTATGACCAGACTCGCACTGTGTTTTTAAAGTATGTTTCCTTGATGGAGCGCTAGTGACAGACGCTCAACGCAATAGAGGCCCAATAGGCAATACGCATCAAATCATTCATACTGCCGGACGCATTCATTCTGCATCCGAGCGGATTATCAATTGGGACAGAGGGCGGGCGGGTCGTACTTACATTCTGGTCTTGATGACCCATGCCACTGTCCCACATCAATGCACTGAATACAGTGATGCACATGTAAATGAATCACAGTACAACTAAGGTGTACTTGATAGAGCGTGGACATTGATGAGTGCTGATTTTCGTGCCAAAATCAATGTGAATCTGTCGTTGTTCGGTACCCTGAGGAAAGGAATCATTTGTGGATCAAATCTGTCTTCTCCATCCGGTATTGTCCCATCCCGGGATAACCGGATAAGATTGTTTCGTGAAAGAACATTGACAGAGCGCACTGGTCTCTATGGTCGTTTTACAGCCATGTTTACCCATGGGTTGATACCGTAGTAGTAAAACAGGCAACACAAATCTGTGCATAGGCCATCAGAGATGGGAATGGAACTAGTAGTAGTACTGTAATAGTATCGGAAAACGTCTTGACTGAGAGCATTGAATAGTGCCTAGTGGGTATCTGTCGACTCCTGTGCAGCGGGTCGCCAGACGGCTGCTTGCCGCATTTCTCATCATTGACCTTGGAGCCCTTCGTTGCATGGGTGAATCTATGCGCTAAACATTTCCCAGGAGTGGCCCGTGTTGTCCTTCAATCATGCACGGATTTCAGCCAGATTGGCCCCGACACACGGCGCAGAGAGCCACCAGCTTTCACCAGGAGCTTGTCTCTGGCTAGCTTAGGGCGTCAGATCATTGCTACAGTAGCTCAGTCGAAGATGACAGGTTGTGGCTGCACTTGCAGACCGACACCGGAGAGCGCTCCCACGGCATCACAACACGACGCTGTCCACGCAGCCCATCACTTGCGCTCCTGGAGCCTTGTGAGATATCAAACAATGCTGCTGATACAGTGGAATTTTCAGTGTATTGTAGCTAGTAACTACAGTTACTTAGTCAAGCCGCTAGCCATGTCCTGCTGCCGTTCCCTGACCCTGATCCTGGGTGTGAATGATCTGTTGCCCAGCTGCATACTCATCGTAGGCATAACCAGTTCATGTGAACCTTAGTAATACTGAAGGTGTCTTCGTCTGACGGCGCTTCTAGGTTAAACTATTTGGTGACGTGCATCGACTGCAACAAATTGAATGACAATTTCATGTAAAGTACCATAGATTCGTGTGTTGTCTAGTCGGCCCAGATCCAACACTCTCACTTGGACTAACTTTGGACACGTTCCAACCCAGTGTCTATTATCAGGCCCTCATACATTTCACGACGGCACAATCCACATAAATCGGTTAAGAGCAGCTGGAATGGTGCTCAATACGCTGGATGCAGAATGTGGGAACTGGCGGAAAGCACAAAACATGATGTGCATGTGTGGTTGCGTTGATAATCTTAGTTTCAGGCCCGTGGCGATCTTTTAACTTTAGCTGACCGTGATTCCTTGTGTGTGGTTCTGGATGTAAATGCAGATTTGGGGGTGGTCTGGCCGTATTGAATTGTCTTGGAAACAATACCGAAAAAGACCATACCAGAGTTCTCTCTCTCTCTCTCACATGCACACACACACGGGCCTGTCAAATGGAGTTGGCATACCCGCATCATGTACATGTAAGGCGGTGGGGCATAGCAACGCTTTCTGTTTGTCCAGTTCATGTCATCTCTGCCATCCACCGATGCAGAAGTATGCTCCCTACTAGACAATGTAGACAATGTAAACCCGTGTAGACATGTAGACATGCACTATTTAAGTATACTCGAGTGCGTGTGAAACCTACACGTCACAGACAAGAGCAGTGCCTGCGAACTGCGGTTGGTCCTGGGGATGATACGAAAACAGCTCAAACAAGACAGAATCCTTTACACGACTGTATTGGTTAGTCAGTAGCATTGTGTACCCTGTACGAGATTAAACGGACTATTAATTGACTATAATTGGCAAGACTATTGGACAACTTATACATGCAAATACTGAAGACGGTGCACACCACATATTGGCCCTTCCAAACACCGTCTGGAGTCGTGGGATAGATGTCTGCGACATACGCGTATTTAGTCGTCGGAGTCTAATCCTGTCCCGAACGTGCAGTAGTGTGGCATGAGCGTGAGAGGAGTAACGAGGTAAACAAATGTACAATACACAATGTATTTTAGAACACGGAGGCTCCACTGCAGCCAATTCATACTATGATCAGTCACCACCGCTACACAAAGGTCGTTGACGCTGCAAATTTTATTCAAATGCTATCTCCAAATAAAAAAATTTGCAGCGTCAACGACCTTTGTGTAGCGGTGGTGACTGATCATAATATACTTGAAGTACAATGTACCTGCAGATACAATATGTTCTCCAGAAGTTCTACAGTAAGTCCGTGCTGACCCCACACAGAGACCAAACTTAGCAATCCGGCTAACTCCGGTATCACTACATGTAGCGAGCCTCGGGACGCATGTGACTTGGCACGTTTTGTGGGATCCGAAACGTGAGGTTGGTGTCACGATGCGTGTGACAAGATGCATTTGTATCGTACTTTGTAGGGAACATACTCCGTCATTTATGCTGTGTCAGAATTTTAGTGCCGTGGTTGGTACTGACATGACTAAGCTTGTTGGTTTTGTGCCCTTGGATGGTTCTTGGTCAGTTCCCATTTAATTACTAGTGTGTTCCCACGTAATCAGGGGGTCCTCATACACAGGTATGCCACAGGCATGCAATGCTCTCACCGTCAATTCAGTCCGTGTTTTGTGTTACGTGTATGCTGTGTCCTATGAGGAAATCAATGCAAGTAAGTTACGTATGTTGTATGTGTTCAACGCTGAAACAGCGTGTATCCGACATCTTGCCTACCCGGTGATGAAGACCCGCAGGCACGGAGGCGGCACCAACACCAAAGCATACCGGATTGTATCCGAACTGTCTGGATGATTGCCAGTAGCTCACTGTCCATGTACAATGTGAAACAGCATAATTGAACGATAGCATTATACGATCATGTACCTGTCTACAGTGTAGTGTGCTTATCGGTTACATCGTGTGTCATACTGCTTCCAGCGACCCCTTGGATATCGATGCGACCTTCACTCTACGTGGGCATGTATATTGCTGCACTGTACATGCATGAATTGTAGAAGTATCCGCGAACGAGTCACCCACGAACCCTCCTAACATCTGCATAGTCCGAATCCACCCCCGTTGGTTGCGGGTCTCAAGACAATGGCATAGTCGGTGGTAATGCGTTGTCTTCACTTTCTAATCAACCAACACACCAATTTCCTACGTTTACGACAATCACTTCAAAATGAAAAGCCAGTGCCGAAAAGATTGTCCTCTTCACCGATAAATGCGTAACTTGTCCTTCGTTGCCTCATGTCGGCAGAAGAAAGATACGAGAAATTATCTGTCTCCTTTCCCGTTTCAATCTATCCCTCAAACCAATGAAATTATCTGTGCTCGTCTATTGATCATAAGAACTAGCCCAGGCGTATGTAGTTGAGCAGTCCAACAACATAAAACTGTTGTCTGATGAGTGATGATCGCCTGCTTGTGAGGGAGACTCTGAGTCAAAACACAATCTTCTCCCTTTTCTTGTCGTAGATGAGGAGTCCGCCAGATAGGAACTGAGTGTAGATAGGAACTGAGCAGTTCATCAGCTTGGAACTGCATGTAAGTGTATATAGGAACTGAGGAGCTCGTCAGATACATGTAGGACCTGAAGGGTAGACGCCACTATCTCTGGCATCATTGCCCATTGAGTTCATCCTGGCACGACATCGAGAGATACGACTGAATTGCCTTTGTCCGTCTTTGCACTGTGCACTGGTTAGATGCTGATCGTATAGATATTGATCGTATGTAGGTGATCTGTCCCACTGCACTAGCCAACGATTATGGTATACCTGCGAGCAGCGCTTTCTCGCGCGCTGCTCAATACTGCAGGTAGCGCTTGCTCGCACAGATCTTGTTAACACAAACAATGAGGTTGGTGCGACTTCTGCGATACTTGGGGAATTGTGCTTTGCTCCCTACATCGAAGCTCGCCCTTTTCCTGCCGACTTGAATTCTCACTTTACTGACTCACGACTGCTATCTAGAGCATCGAACCGTCCACTCGGCAAACCTGAACGAATGCACCACTCCCTGCTCAATACACAGTGTTTCGGGGAATTTACCCCTCATCAGATGATCTTGAGTAGGCTGAGTAAGATTATGCCTGACGAGCACCACTTTTATAGTGCTCTCCAGGCACAAACATGACCAGGGATACAAACTTACAGAGACGCTCCGTTTCCAGCGCGACAAACACCTCGTGAACACCAGATAGCAGCGTGAGTCAGTGTCGCTCATGGAAGTGCCTCCAAACCACCTAATCCGCAAGCCCGCGCTGGGGACAACAATGTGAAGAAGAGGTTGGTGCGACTTCGGCGATACTTGGGGGTTGGTGTGTTGCTCCCTACATGGGAGCTCGCGCTTTTCCTGCCGACATGAATTCTCACCTGACTGACTCACGACTGCCATCCAGAGCGAACGAGAAGTCCATCGAACCATCCACTCGGCAAACCTGCAAGAAAGCACCACTCCCTGCTCAATACACAGTGTTTCGGCGAATTCATCCCTCATCAGTTGATCTTGAGTAGGCAGAGGAAGATTATGTCTGAAGAGCACCACTTATATAGTGCTCTCCAGGCACAAACATGACCAGGGATACAAACACCTCGTGAACACCAGATAGCAGCGTGAGTCTGTGTCGCTCATGGAGGTGCTGAACAAGCGCTTAGGACCGTTGGCCAGTCACAACCTTGTTGCCTCCAAACCACCTAATTCACAATAATATTAATTATATTATTAGGAGTACGAAAAAGCGTTTTTACTTCGAGCTTCACGCACTAAGCGATCATCAGAAACTTTACCCTGCCTCTCGGTATTGAGCACTCTCTTGGACAGCCCGGAACCTCTCTGTTTTGAGATTGTTTACACAGATCAATCCCTACATTGTACAGGTGTAGCTGGTCCTCATGGAGCTCAATACCTAAAGATACCGAAGCCATGTAGAGCGATACTGAACTTCCGCGGGGACAGGTAGCTGTTCCCACCTTGTTAGGTCTCATCCGCGGAGTTCAGAGATACTGGCCGAGCGGATCGCAATGATTGAAATCAATTGGACAACAAATGTGAGAGGTATAGCGAGTTTTCCATGAGGGCAGGGACCTTTGACGCTTTCAAGAAAGAGTCCTAAGCCAGGTCGAGGTGGGTGAGCGTACAATCATGTACATGCAGTACATAATTCTTACTTAGTCCGAACACTCACACACGGCCTCCTTGCTGAGAACGTGTTTGTTTTGTTTGTTGTTTACTTATTTCTTACATCTCATGTCAAACGGGCAGTTCTGCCTACTGTAATGCTATGGAAGCGATGACAATCGCAAAAAAAGAGAGTAAATTATCGTGTCCGTTCCCGAAGGGAGCTCACGACGGCCGCTAACACCCGATAAACCCTAGCGGCAGATGCAGCGCCTAACGGTGGGGGTGAGTGGATAAGTCTCACAACCACTGGCACAAGTGCCGAAAACGACCCCATTAGCTGCATCCATGTGACAACCGCAAGCAGAGTACGAAATGAAAAAAAAAACAGTGAAAAAGGAAGTAGTAAGGATTGCAGGCAGGGTGAGAATGACAAGAAAGGAGTTCTCAAATAATTAATACAGTCATGTCGGGTCATCGAAGCATGCTTCTCTCGAGTCTTATCAGCAAGCTTTCAAAACCATCACATTTACCCGAAGTAAAATGCGCGTAGCAGGCGCTTGAACTCGCCGACAGACACGATCGACTTCATGCAGTCGGAAAGCATTCAAAGGCGGCACCTAGCTAGTAGAACTAGTGTCTGTTGGCTTGAGACAGAACGGCAGAAGCACAGACTCAGTGCACCAGGTGGAGAGGAAGGTTGAGTCACAACTGACCTCGAGCGGCCATCCTGTCAGTGAGCCTCGCAAGACAATGCGTGACGACAAGAGCGACGTCTCTCTAGATCATGTTCAATGTCCCAGTATTATAACAGACACTTCAGGTTCTTTGCTATTTTTTGCTTTTGATTACGTGGCCAATTCTTGATGATGGGCAATTCCGTAGCCCGTTGTGTAAAAAAATGCGTAAATTCGTATTACAGAAACGTAACTAAATCAAAAATGCGATTACTTGTGACTGTTACCGCACGTGACTAGCACTGTCTGTACCTGTATTGTGGGTCAAATAATTATTCAACCGAACGTGATCTCCTTAACTGGTTGTGTTTCTCAACAGCACTAGATGGTAACGTGAACTGCCGGTATTAAACTCAGTTAGTAACTGTTACTGGCGAGCTTTACGCTTTATCTACATAATCATCAGCAGCAGGAGACAGGCTATGTCATGCGTCGTTGTCGCGGAAAGGAGATGCGTGTTCACCATGTTGTAGCTGGCTTGCTAGCTCCTTACCTGGCCTGCATTGACTTTCTCGTGTTCGTCTACTATTATCTGATGAGCTGCTGACTTCTGAGGTGTGCCCGAACGGCTCCGCTTGAACATAATAATGAATACAAGAATCCATCGTTCTAATCGCAAAAGTTCTTTAGACTGCTTGTTTATAACACAGTTTTTGCAGTCCACAACAGAGACACTTCAGAAAGCCACCTATGCGTTTGGGTAAGGCCGACGTTCGACTCATCAAGTTCGTACATTTCCTTAGGATCAAGAGAGCATGGTTTACTTGGAGGGTATGTATATTGAACGGAGGCTACCAATACCATGCTGCCGCTTAGGAATACTGGCTGTGTTGTTGGGTCTGGTTGGCACAATCTACAGCAAATCGCTGGGCACCTCGCAAGGTACGTGAACATCGGGTTCTTTGTCAGTGCTATTTTAAACTTCTGAAATAGATGCATAGCTTCGTTCAAGAAGACAGTTGTGAATACGAATGTGCCTGCGGGTGTGTTTGAGAGAGACAATATAGGGAGAAAGGAGAGAGAGAGAGAGAGAGAGAGAGAGAGAGAGAGAGAGAGAGAGAGAGAGAAAGAGAGAGAGAAAGAGAGAGAGAGAAAGAGGGGAAGAGAGGGAGAGAGAACGAGGCGGGAGTCAAGGTAGACAAAGGAAATCATGTGTGGGGGTAGAAAGATCCTCCAGGCATTGTCTATTTCTCTCAATTATTTTTCATTTGTAGAGAGGGTCACCAATCTTCCTAATATTCGGTAGAAGGAGTAGTGATTATGCAACATTCCACTTTAGGACAGGACATTGTCTGTCGATACAGTTTTCATTTTCACCTCCATCATAGCAATGAACTTTTTAAAATATTGTTGAGCTCAGGGATGGTTGGTTGTGTTTATTTGAATTCGCAAACCGAACGGACTGAACATGTCCAATGACAAGGAAGCGAATGAAGTCCAAATAACCCAGGAATGGGGGATATCGTCTGACATGAAGCTGAGGCTGAGGATTTGAAATTTTGTCACCGTATTTTGCCTATGCCTATGGTCACAACTTTGCAGGGCTAGGAAGTCGCCATATTGGATCACTAACGGACCACTCCCGTCAGCAGCTCATAGAACTGTACGGACTACATCACGTCTTACAGCGCAACAGTGCCTTGGAACACTTCCGGCCATGGCGCATGCATCGTGATAGTGCAGTGTTCCCTGCAGACAATGCCGAGATGGCAGCAGACACAGAGGATGAAGCTGACGAGAACAGGAATGAGCTTGTAGAAGCTGACTGGCGTCCAGATCTTCAGGCGGCTATTGGAGAAAGTTGGAGTACGGAAGAAGATGAACGAGGTACGCATTGCACATGAACCAGTTATTTTAATGTACAGGATGTGTGTCCTGGGTTCACGTTAAGCGATCATGCATTGTTTCGGGTGCCCTTCGCGGGCATGACAAGGAAACTGATAATGCACAACATTATAAAACTAATACCGTACGTACATGTATGTAGGGGTTATGTGCAGACTGTGACTGGGTTTACAGCGGAATTAGTACAGTAGTGCAGACTGTGATTGGGTTTACAGCGGAATTAGTACAGTAGTGCAGACTGTGACTGGGTTTACAGCGGAATTAGTACAGTAGAGCAGACAACACATACATGACATTGTACATGTAGTGGCCTGACATTCGACAGTATACATTTACATGCCTGGGTATAAATTTGGACCCACCGGATGATGTACACGTTCTCAGTTGTCTGAGGATTGCCTTAGCTTTGCTATGTGCATGACACGCAGCGTTACAACAATGATCTAGCCGGCTGTCTCTGTTATCTTCTGCCTATGTGGTAATGCTCCATCCTTGTGGTGTTGAGCACTCTAGTCTAGCCTAGGCAGTCTGGGAACTCTCGCTATTGTCATGTACATGTACATGTAGGTGCATTTCTTTGATGCCATCAACTACATCAGTACATAAAATCGTTAGTCATTGTAGTTGTTAGCCTGGTCCTTACTGACCTTTAGTAGATAGGGAAGCTAGCAGACATGCATGATTGTACATACAACCCGAGCATCTCCATTCAACCACTCTATACGTGCTGTGAATCCCCCTACCCTGCACGCACAACAAAACTGATGAAGGCCATTCTCGGGCTACTGAATGCACGCACATGGACATGACATTAGATAAACCTTGTTTTGTTGAAAACGTGTTCTTGGTTGACCTGGCAGCATGTTACAAAGCGCCTTGTTTTACAACATGCTGTCAACCAACAACATCTGTTCAACCTCCGCCTTGTAGCATATTATCAACAAACAGCATGACGTATTGTGTAGGTACGTGTATACAAGTAGTTGCCACACAGCAGCCCGATGCCTTTTACCGAGTCGTCGTTCATCCTTCATAAATTCTGCTTCGCGTTGGGTAAGCTAGGAACGTGATCCGGAGCGGCCAACAATTGAAGTGGTGTTCAATCCGCAGAACATTCCTTTGTACCCTCAGAATTGCGCTATGCAGAATTCTCACCTTTTTTTTTAGCGATTCTCTAATCTACACTTAATCTTCTAGATTACTCACATATCGTCGGAGAGGTACCAATACAGTTTAAGAAAGCATAGGATTGCCGTGTAGTTAACTGGTGTTACTTTACTACGTTCATATACCGGTACCTACACAAGGCGACGAGGAGACAATAACTTTATCAATGCGATTAATAGTATTAGTGAAGCGGACATTACAAAATGATGAATGAGAATACATGTACGATTTCCCCTGATGATAGTCTCAAGAAAATCGATTAGGAACAACCATTTTAGATACATGTATTCTCATTCAAACAATAGGAGGACAGAGGAAGTGTTTTTACTCAGAGTTTCACGCACTAAGCGATCATCAGAAAACAGTGTTTTCTGATGATCGCTTAGTGCGTGAAACTCTGAGTAAAAACACTTCCTCTGTCCTCCTATTGTTTGAACCAGCTCTACCACTCGGTATTGAGCACTCTCTTGGACAGCCTGGAACCTCTCTGTTTTTGTATTCTCATTCATCATTTTGTAATGTCCGCTTCACTAATACTATTAATCGCATTGATATACCGGTACCTACACAAGCCTGACGCGAAGCTGGCCATTATTCGGATTCATTTTTTCTACAGAGGCTGGTTGTTACAGTGTCATGGTGTCGCATTGTCGTTATTACAGTGGGCACATCCATTTTCGTGTCTGCCTCTTTATCTGTAACAGACCATTTATCGGACGACATCAAAGGTCAGCAAGAATCCGAGAACATCTTAATGGATTTGTGAATGGGAGCCGCTGACGCTGTGCAAGAATTGCTTCAAGGCCACAATCTTTGCGATCGCAGGGCTGAAGAACAAAGAGGATTTCAGCAACATATTATCGCAACTTGCCGGCATAGATAATCTCATGTCAACATTCGCTGGCTCTTAATTACATGTACTGTATGTATTAGTATTTCACCTCGTTAGCTCGAATTGCCTACTGCGAAACTCTGGCAGTGTGGATTAGATGGTTTGGTGGTGCCCTCTGCGATAGTGGATGCGAAATGAAGAGTTATGGGTGCTGTCTACCGCATCACTGCTCCTTGAAGGAGACCACTGACACCAGTGGAAAACTCAACACAGAATTAAACAGTCAAGAATGGCAGGACAGAACCATAATATTAAAAAAAAAAAGGAATTCAAACATCCAATATCTAACAAGGAAACAACATTTACTGACGTTTACGTGAACATGTCATTTTGAGTCAATGTATACCTACATGTACATGCGCCCATTTTTGCATCCCATCACCCAACTCACACAATGATTTTCATATCACACTATCAGCCTTTACACCTACTTGTATATGTGTGTATGTACAGGTATGTGCATGTGTGTGCATGTACATGTACATGTATCTTTAGGGACTAGTCAATTTTGCTGATATCCAATTTAACCTATGCAGCGTGAAACCATCTTTCACAGTTACAGTACAGTTAACCTTCAGCACAATGTACATTGACATGTACGTCTAAGTCTTTATAGCCGAGGGTACTACATTTATATCCATGTCCAAATGATTGATGGCATATTCTAGGTCCTGCAAAGCTGTACTCTATACGCTGTGAACGTTATATCCGGGTATATGAAACAGAACTGCGTGGTTGTTTGTTTGTTTAGCTTATTTTACTTCACCATAGGCACAGGCAAAATCTGCCGTCTCATTGGGCGTATTGCCACAGTTCGCGCAAAATGATGGCAAAAATCTTCCCTATACTCCATCGGCATTGTGCTGATAAAACGTGATGATCCGAGACAAACCTTGGCTGAACGTCTCAGTGTTCAGTGGCAGTGTGCACTTCACAAAGGTCAAAGCAGAATCACAAAGACTAGTATTTCACTAAGCGTTGTGTATTTCTCTCCACTGAGCACTGGGAGGCCTATCATCGATTAATACACCGGGCATACACATGCCTTGTACTGCTCTTTTCTCTCCGAAACTCAACACTTGCAAGCCAGATACGAAAGAAAGAAAAAAAACCGTCAGTCACACCACGGGGACTCGAACCAGGGACCTTGCTATTCGCGAGCAATGCTCTAACCAACTGATGGCTTTTTCTTCCGTATCTGGCTTGCAAGTGTTGAGTTTCGGAGAGAAAAGAGCAGTACGAGGCATGTGACCTCAAATTTCCTAATACTTGAAATTCTCCGTGAAATCAAAATTTGAAAAAGGGCAAACATAACCATAAATGCAATGCAAAACTTAATAATACATGTATGAACATAATTCTTTAATGAACTAAAAGTAAAAATACGTACTGTACAGTATGAACGTTACCATAATTATCGTGTCACTTGAGGGCGTTAAAGTCTGCACTTTTGGTCGGGGTTCACTGAGTACAAGTGTACTTCGATTGCATAATTCTACACACGATGATAATTATGTCGAAACTTCTGTTCAGTGTTAATCCTGCAGTCCCAGTCTTCTTCCACAATCACACAATCGACCGGTTTTAATTTTGACTAACTAAATCTGTACCTGCCAGCTACAGTGTACATGACATGTGCATTGAAGCTGCCGATGAGCTGTGCCTCAGAAAGAGAATACAGCTCTTTGGTTCACTCGGCTACCAGCACCTCCCAACAGACACAATGTATTATGCTGATGATGTTGACTTTCTGTTATCCAAGGGAGCTGACGTCCAATCATGCCTTCCTGCCATTGGGGACACTATAAAGCAATGGTATTTGACAGTTAACTCCACCAAGACTGAATTCACCCATCTCGAGAGGTTCAGTGACTGTATTGCAGAAGAATGGAGGCAGACCCGGAAGCTGGGATCGCTACTGGGTGACAGGGAAGATATATCTCGGCGTATGTAGCTGGCCACAGGTGGTCTACAACAGCTTTGGGCGCTGTGGCCCTGTGAGAGGCGCGCAGGTGAGAGGGAACATACGTGCCTGGCTATACAACGCATTCCTTACACCAATAGTTCTGTACAACTGCTCAACATGGGGAGTCCCAACCAATGTCACCAAGCAAATTGGAGGTATTCCACAGACGTCAATTGAGAACAGTCGTGGGAATCAAGTACCCTCAAGGCATCAAAAATAGCGATCTGTATAAACGCACCAACTCCCGGCCCCTATGGGAAATCATTGTGAGAGCGAGGTGGCGGCTGTCTGGCCATGTCCTGAGACTGGACGACAATGCACCAGCACGCGTTATAATAGCAGCATACTTCGAAAACCAAAGTTCTAATTCCGCTGCCACTTGGCAGGGCCGGCCACCTACCACTCTGCCACTGAGTTTGCCCCAGGACCTGCAGCGTAGTAGTATCAGGGGGGGGGGGGGGTTCACTCAAGCCAAGGAACGCGAGGACGTTGAGAACCTCCATGCCATCGCCCAGTCACGACAAGACTGGAAAGAGACCTATGCAGCAATGTGATATAAGCATACATCAATGCCTAATGCTGCTTTCACGTGTGGCAGCTGCATGGCTGTACGGTGTGCCAAAACATAACTCATTGATCAACATATTCCGCGAAAATAATTATTATCCTGTAAACGAATAGCAACATACCTGTGAAAAGATAACCTTTCATGCTACTAACCCAACATGTGACTACAATAGTCATGAGATCAACCCAGAACATGTCTTGCAGTATACTTTCGTACAGTTTGTGTTCCTCAACACAACTTACAGCTCTTCGCGAGAGTGCTCTTATAATTATTCGAGAATAAGAACATGTCCTTAAATGCGCGATATTACGGTAATAAGATGTGTATACCTCGACGCCGTTTACACAGCGGTAGTGCTCTCGGCTGGTGGTATGCTTTCTGAGAAGAAAGTGGTTGCTTGTTCCACCCTCGTTTCCACTGGGTACGCTCTCTGTCGACCCATGTGAAGAGGCAACTACAGCTGTACTATAGTAGTCTATTAGTATTACCTGCCCAGGCAACTAGCTTTCACGGTCCATCCTCCTTGCTCTCTTCTCTAGTGACTTGGACGCATTTAAGAGATCTGCAATCATCTACTAGATCACGAACGCGTCTACTTCGAGGAGATGACTTAGATAATCTTGAGCATGGCATCTGACTGTGATCGGCCAACAGTAGCCTCATAGCCTAGGACCTGTGGCATCATTCATGATCCACAGCAAGAAGGCAGCAATGCAGCAATCCCCGTGCCTATGGGGAAGTAAAATAAAGATAACACAATACATTGTAAGTGCCCCGCCAGCGAAAGCTGCACGCAACACAGCTAGTACTAGCCGATTGGTGACCGGCAACAGAACATGTAGCGGTGGCAGACTGAATCCTAATGATCAGTAGTTGACGATTTGTCTTCGCGTCATTGTTGGGCATAATGCTGCGCTGATAACATCCTGTGAGCTTCACTGAAGTGACTTGAAGTTGTACCTGTCCAATCCCCGCATAACATTAAATTTTACTAAGTATTTCGAAGTGCAATGCAGTACGAAAAGGTGTGCGTTGCAGTACTGGGCAGAGAAGATTGGAACTCGGGTTCGGCCAAGCTGTTTAGTCATGTAGTTTGGTACATCCTATTGTAACAGTTTACACAACAACGGCCAAGTAAGTTACTTCCAAGTACATGTAGTTGTCACCTTCTCATTGTTCTTACCTTAATACTGTCACACATGCACAGCCTGTTCATCCTGGACACCGTTGGTTCATTCCCGTTGCACCTTTTGATTGGTTCTTACTCTGAGTTGTGTTGTACCCTTTTAAGGTAGCAGCCTGGTCGTAAATTTCATATGGCATTCAATTGACCGTAACTTTGGTGTCTCTCAATGGATTTGAGTGAAATTTTCACCACACACTCGTGCCACTATGCTGGCCCTTTGGACATGATTTAAAAGTTCTTTCGCCTCACTGACAGGCTTTCCAGGCCGGAAAACCTCAAATCCCGGCATAGTGCCACGGTTTGCGAGCCACCCAGGAGCTGAAAAATGCATTTACAAATTTTCACATTTTCTTGCCCATTCTGTCCGTGCGCGGGATTCAAACCTAAAAAAGTCCAGAAGCAGTCATGGGTGGTGGGATAGGGCCCTTCAACGCGGCCCTGGGATCTGTCACAACGGCAGGAGTGGGCGTTCTCTCACACACTCCCACAGACCCAAGTCATTGCTCTATCACTTGCTATCTTATTCAACACTTCCCTCTCGTCTGGTCAATTCCCATCCTTGTTCAAAATTGCAAACATTACACCAATTCTGAAGTCAACTCAAGGCCCCCGCGACTGCCCTTCTAACTACCGCCCAGTGTCTTTAACATCTATCCTAGCCAAGCTCCTGGAGGGGCTTGTGTTTTCTCGTATACATCTTTTTTTTAATGATCGTTGCCCATTCCATGTGGACCAGTTTGGCTTTCGGAAGCACCGTTCTACCGGACAGCTTCTCACCAAGGTTACGAACGACTGGCTTGTCTCGCGCGACGCTGGACTGCATACGGCGGTTGTCTGTATTGATTTGAAAAAAGCGTTCGATATGGTGAAGCATCAACAGCTTCTTCTTGCTCTCGCAGCTGTCGGTATTTCGGGAGTGGCCCTGGCCTGGTTCCGATCATACCTTTGTGCCAGACAACAGCGGGTGGTTACCCACACTGGAACATCTCCGTTGGTGGCAATCACTAGTGGCGTGCCACAGGGCACCATTCTGGGTCCGGTGCTATTTAACATATATGTACGGAAGCTCCCATTGACAGCAGAGGCCTTTTCTTGCAAGCTCCCGATGTTCGCTGACGACATGACGTTGTATGCCAGCAGACGTAGACAAGCTGAGGCCGTCGCTACCGTTACTGATTCGTTATCTGCAATTTCTGTGGATCTAGACGAGCTTGGGCTGCGCATTAATACAACAAAGACTGTAACTTTGATGATTTCTAAGTCTTCTCAACCCCTCTCAACTCCAATCGTTTTTAACCAACAGCCTCTGACTCAAGTGTCTAGCACGAGAATCCTGGGAGTCATTGCAGACAGTGATGTTTCTTGGTCTGGTCACATAGACTTTATCGTTAGGAAGACTTGCACGAAAATTGGCACTCTTCGACGGTGTTTTCGGCAACTAAGTTTGAAGGCAACACGGCAGTTTATCCTCTCGGTTATCCTGCCTGACTTATTATACTGCTGCTCTTGCTTTGCAATGAAGCTATCCGCCAAGGACCGACAGCGACTCTCGTCCGTTTATCGTCGTTCTGTACGCGCTGCTTGTGGCTCGAAACTACAAGAGGACGTCATGCCGCTGTTAGCTAGATTGTCGATTGATCCGTTTGAACATTACCTTATTCGTAGCATTGCTAAATTTATCCATGTTAATCATGTCGTTTTCCCTCTCCCAAATCTGACGGACCTTTTCCCTCAAGTTTCAACCGGCCCTAGGACAACAAGAAGCTCTTTTAATGCTGCTATTGCAATATCTAAATTTCCGGACGACTGACGGTGTCAATTCCTTTTCAAATCGTGCTGCCCTGTTCTTTAATTCTTTGCCTGTGGAGTGGCGCACCCAGCACCGCACTACATTTGCTAAGCACCTTCAGACCATGCTAAAAGACGCAGCGTCTTTTCAGAAGTATTTTGATCTTCTTTTCAGCCAACTCCCTCATTGATCTGCACCGCCTGTATTGTATAACTGTGTTTACTGCGTTCCCAGTTTAAATTCGTTTTTAAAAACATCTCTTTAATTCTTGCACTATCCCATTATGACCATGCTTAAAGACGCAGCGTCTTTTCAGAAGTA